AAAGTATAAGGTTATTGCTCAATGCGAAGTCGCGTTTGCCGGTACAGAATTTTAGATAGTGTCCCGCAGCTTTGTGCGACAAACAATAACTCGCTAGAATTACCTGGGCCGAATGAAGCGCCGACTTAGGATCGCCAGTATGAAGGCTTGCCAGAGGAGCCGCCATGACGGGTTTTATGTCGTAGGGCCTGATGGTAGCGTTGGGTCGAAAGCGCTTGTTGTATTCATCGAGAGGTGCGGAGCAAATCTTGAAACTCCAGTCGTAGCGATCTCTCTCGAAGTGCCATGCGTAGTTGAGTATTGTCGTTACGGGACAAATTAAGTCGTAAGCACTAATGTTCCTGTAGACTTCCTCAAAGTTGCGGGCTTTGTATCTTCGCATTAAGTATTCCCTGCAGTTGGCATACGTATCGCGATATATGTATATCGGAAAATTCAGCATGAAGTCCGCTACAGCCGGTAGCCCAATGGAGATCTCCGCGCTTTTTAGACAACGTCCAGGATAGTCTAATTGTGATGATGTGCAATCCGTTCCTATCGCTCTCAACCGCGTACCGTAGTATATGGAATTTATCGTCACTGAAGTGGAGAATGCAGTGTCAGAATCCACCCACGCAATGACCGTGTCGTTCGTGTATAAATCATTAAAAAAGCTGCTCCAGATTTGACGATTGTAGCCAGTGTCGCGTTTCGGCCAAGGAAGCTTCAACAGCGTTTCATAGTTCCTCGGAAGAGGCTCGTAGAGTATTTCAAGTTTGCGATACGGGAAGAATTGATGAAACTGTCTCTCCAAAATGTTTCCTATTTTGTGATCCAGAGACGATTCCTGATCGAAAACCACGACTAGCTTTCCATACGAAGCGGGCCAAAACAAGACGGTTGTCCTCAAAAAATCACAGTAAAATTGCTTTATGTGCAACCCAGTCGTCCGCATAAAAAGCGTCACTGATGGCGGCTCTTGAACTGTATCAATTGTTGGTCGCGCGGAATTAACCACGTCATCTGAAGGTCCATCGTGTCGTACTTTGCGAAAGCGTTGTTCGTTCCGTTGGCTAGTAATCGCAAACAAAATATAGATGGCGGGCAAGGTGAATAAGATCAAGACGAAACGTTTCTTAAAGACACGAGCCGGATTCAACATATTAAATACCTACAAAGATTTATCTAGAGAAAACAAGAAAAGCTAGGTTAGGGAGCAAGCACCGAGCCGGATTCAACATATTAAATACCTACAAAGATTTATCTAGAGAAAACAAGAAAAGCTAGGTTAGGGAGCAAGCACTGATGTCATCAGCGAACTTCAACAAGGCTTAATCTATAGTATACCGGGATGTGACAAGGAACAGCCTTAAATTTCACACTGTTCAACCATGTCGGGTTTTGGCGGTGTCACGAGATACCTGTGCAAGAGGCTGATGCATGTGAACACCAATCTGAGCAATTTTCGGTTTAATTCGTGACTCACAGGGAGAGAACTTTTACCGACAGTCAAAGAACCAGAAAGTTTAAGAGACAATCTCCACTAAGACCGAGCAAAAATATGGCTTGTTGCATTTTTAATCCCCTATGGAGGACATCCATTTTTTTGGACCCCCCCCTTTCTTGGAATTCCGCAGATGTTGATGGATTTCCTGTCTACCCCATGGAATTCCGCAGATTTTTTACAAATTTCCAACTTACCCCATGGAATTTCCACGGATTTTTAATGAATTTCTACTCATCCCTTGCAAATTCCACCAATAGTTTTTGACCTAGTCTCTGGAATTTCCACATTTTTTGTTTAATAGGTAACCATCCCTTGGAATTTCCATGTTGTTTTTTTAACCTATCCCGTGGAATTTCCACAGATTTTCTTCAAAATTTAGATTTTGTTGAATTTTAGGAAGGAGGGTCACCGATTTCCAGCTAGTACAGCTAAAGTAGAGTGTTAAAAATGCAATAAGGCAATCGAGAATACGTGGCACATGTGGAAAAATAAAAAATCTTCTTATTTTATCCAGTGATACTCTAATGTGTACTCGGAAACGTAGTGGGATTTGTTTTCTAAAATATTATTTTAAACTCGATTTTAAACGCCGAAAATTATCAAAATCAGACATGTACCAGCGAGATTCGCGAAATTAGCAAAAAAAATTGTGAGCCACGGCCTCTCGAAAACTTCGTTTTTCTCAATTTGCGTCTCAAAAAACCTCACCTTTCGTTTTTAAACGTGTTTATAAGATGTTTATAAAGAACGCGTGCGTATGAGTCTAATTTGCAATTTGCAATTCACCTGAGTACATTACACCAACACAGAAAAAATATCATTACTAGATTGCATTGATGTCGAAGGAACTAGATTCAGTTCCGAAATATCACATACTCGAACCGTCCTGACCGCGTAGCTCAGTTGGCAGAGCATTGGGCTAGTATTCCAAAGGTCGTAGGTTCAATTCCCACCGTGGCCAGGCATATTTTTCAAGCTTGCCCAGTGTGGATATACACTCAGAGTAACATCACAGGCATCATATTCACCTGAGTACATTACACCAACACAGAAAAAATATCATTTTGAGATGATGTTTCAAAGTCCAGACAAGCGTGTCAGAGAGCTTTAACCATGCAGTTATTGTGATTATGACAAAGGACATTCAGCGCATGTGCTATACAGGTTTGGTATCACTTTAATTTCTTTGTATTCGGAAGTTTTATTTATATACAAACACGTCGCTTTTATAAAATCTAGCCCTATAATCTCACGGCAATGATTTATGCGACTATACTTCAGAAAAAACTAAACACAGATATTTTAGTTTGAAAAAATAATTTACAGATTATACCGGATATTTTAAGAGCTATTGAGTATTGGATTTAAGTAGCAGGCTGTCAATAACTGGTTTTTTGTCTTCGATGCTGATACATAAGTGCAACATGATGTTGATATTGACTATTTATTTCTCTTAATATATATAATATATATGTCAAAACCAAATAACGAGAGAAAACAAGTATAAATCCTTGCGTTTCGACAGTTTAGTTTGAGCAGAATGTGTTTAGACTGTCTGTTTAATTATACTTTATAGACATTATAATTTCGTGCTAACAAAACACCTCATAATATTTTTAACACCAGATTTGAGAGCAACATTCGCTCTTACAATTGTCTATAAATTTGAAGGAAATCGGAAGTTTACCGGAAAGGGAAAATTAATTTTCAAAATATGTTCCAAACATAGAATTTTTTAGATGATTTTTACGCGCTTGCCTTGAACATCATTGCAACTTTAGATTACCCCTGATGAAGACACTAGACTGGAGTGTCGAAACGTTGGGTCTTGATTACATTTCGACTGGGCTTTGTATAATAATTTATTTAAACCAGAGTATAGCGAGCGAAACATGATTGATATACCTGCATGCATGGTTGCAACAATGAACGGACAAACTTTAATATTAACTGTGCTTTAAGACTCTCGTTGTTCATAAACATCTTTTATTATATAAAGTATAATAATTTTAACAATTTTAATATTTATATAGCGCAAAATAGCATTGATATATGATCTAATGCGCTTTATATATAGTGCTTTTTGTACTGTTTAATAAACGAGCAGGAGTTTTTGAATAGGTTTTAATAGGTTTAAAGGCTTCAAACACGACTACAAATTCAATAGATATACTGCTATTTATACTGCCTTATTAGTATTCTTTATATAAAAAATACTAATGAGGACACGACTACAATTGATACTGCCTTATTAGTATTCTTTATATAAACAATACTAATTATAGGAGTGTTTTATATCAGGTTTAAAGCCACTGCACGTGACATATTATGGTTGACATGATTTGCCAATAACCTTATGAATTCATGATGTTTGAAAGAGATTTCGAGCACTGATAAAACTGATAATCTCACATGTGAGATTATTTATGATAATCTCACATGTGAAAATTATCGCTTTTCTGTAACAATTATCGCTTTTCAAAGAGCGTTTATATAATAAACAGAAAAATACATGGGTGCTTGGAAATACCAGATTTATTTCTCGTGTAGTTGAACATGATATCTCATCATGTTCAACACTCGAAATAAATCTGGTATTTCCAAGCACCCATGTATTATTCTCTATATAAACACATTTAAAAACCTGAGGTTTCCTGAAACACGAGCAAAACGAAGTTTTCGAGAGGCTATTATGACTCACAATGTTTTTGGCTAATTTCCCAATTCTTGGGTACGTGTCAGGCTTTGATAAAATACGCAAACATTTAATTTTTCATCTTGTGTGTGCCACTCGGTGATAGTGGAAATTCCTTCTTATAAGGTCGACAACTTCTAGCAGCGAAGCTGATGGCGCCATTATGTTAGAGGAACAGCTGTGTCGAACTTCAGCATGCGCCACTAGATCGTATCGTACTTGGTTCGATCAAAAAGGGTGTGAAATGGTCTGCCAAACGAAATACGCACGAACACAACGTTTCTGACTTCCTATAGAAACAATTATTGAAGGAATATTACCAAAGCGGCAGAGCCCTTTAAAAAATCAACTTATGACTCTGAAGATGTACCGTATGTGGTTGTTTACACAAGCCTGTTGAGGCAAAGTGTAATAGTTTCCAGAGCTTTGCTTGTCTGCCGCTTTGGATTAGGGAAAGCCTAGCTTCATTAGCTTCGGCTTATAGTATAGCGAACAACAAGACGATATAAACGCTTGCAAGGTGATATGCCTTGAGATATAAATGAACTGAAAATGGTCCTTCAGAGTTTTATGACGCGTCCCTCTTAGCAATTAAATGTATAGTCGAACCCGTTATCGCGTATAGTTTTGAATTTCATAATGCACGATATAACTGTTAATTAATACTATATTTGATCTATAATAAAGTTAAAATAAAAACATTAATTTTATAATTATAGAGTAATAATATAATATAAAATATAAATTTCCATTGTTGACATACCAAAGTTCCGTACAATCTTTAAAGTTCTATATATGAACGTTATTCACTTCTTTGGCGGGTTATACCAGGACTACGTTAGAAACACTGGTTTACAATAGTCAATACAGAATACAGGTTAGCAGAATAACAAAATAAACTTGATAAAATCCACACAAGTTAGCCTTTCAAGTTGGTCCTTTCGACAGCAAGTCGCAGCTCTTAACTCAACTAGATTAATATATGCAGCGTGCGTATACCGTGCGAGGGTACTAATTCCGCCCGGCTATTTACCTCTGGGGAAAAGAAAGCATTAGCAAAGTATAAAGTCAGTGAACTCAATATATATTTAACAATTATACCATGAGCTCGAGTCGTATATGTATAGGTTATTTTGAGGCAACGAGGGGATATGTGATTTATTCACACTGCGAGGTCGCGTTAATGAGTCAGAAAAGAAATAATTCTTAATGCCATATTGCCTTCGCGATGTTGTTTTTTTCTCATTTTTTGTGCTGCAAAGACATTGCAGGTGAATATTAGAGGGGATTATTAATATTATTTGCAAACTTTTCTGAACAATTTATATTCTCAATGAACATGTTTTTTCGCTGTTGTTTCGGCATTAATTCTTTAAAAAACTTGTATTTATAACTAATTTCTATGTAATAAATGTATTTTGCTAACCTGTCAAATTTTTTTGAGAGTTTTTCCTTGTACTGTTATCTTTCTCAAAGCGAATATTTTCCTTTCTGCTTCGCAAAACTCATGTAATTTTTGGACCGCCTTTTTGTTTTTCGCTACTCGCCGTATATGAGCTGATATACGGCGAGTAATTCAACCAATCAGATTGCAGAACAGCTCATATACGGTGAATGACTATATTATAAATATATATATATATATAATATAGTCATTCACCATATATGAGCTGAATTACTCGCCGTATATCAGCTCATATACGGCGAGTAGCGAAAAACAAGATGGCGGTCCAAAAACTACATGAGTTTTGCGAAGCAGAAATCGAAGGTCGTTGAGGCCGACTCACGGATAAGATCAAATGAAAGTGACAGAAAGAATTAGTGTCGTTCCAATTGAAGTGTTGCTAAAATATTGATTCAATACATTACCTCGGGCTGACCAATTCATTTCATCAAGTTCCTCGAGATATTCATACACTT